ATTGTAGATACTGGCTTTCTTCCTCCATAGCATTTGTTTTCTTGTCTTGAGAACACTTGTAGCATCAAGGAAGGACTGCCCTGAAATTCACTTATTTCTTTTGCTACCTAAAGAAAGAAATTCAGATATTCACTCCCTATCTGGACATGTAGAAAGTACTTAAAATTACTTGACTTCAAGTTCATTGTCAAAAGAGGCAGTGTGTCAAAAACCTCAAAACCAAAGCAATATATCTGCAATTAAATGACAACTTGAATGACTCAGAAGAAAGGCACTGCATCTGTCTAAAAAATAACCCATACTGGCTGCACTTAAAAGCCGAAATGCACATTCATAGATAATTATAAACAAAAACTAGTTAACACTTTAAATAAGAAGAAAAATAGCAAGAAGATTTAGAGCTTCGACAAGCAGATGAAAGGGTTCGAAGTTGCCTTCCATCTGATATTACTCAAACTCAACTCTGTCTCCAATTACCTGGAATATGTGCTATTCCCTCATGAAAGTTCAAGATCAGAAAGGGCGTCCGTTCCATGCCTCCGCTTACTCACAGTCCTTTGGAACAAGTTCAGCAGAAATATTTAACATTGCAACAGAGGCCGGAGCCAGACAAGCGACTGCAGACGCTAATCGCTGGGTCAAAATAGTAACTTAGTAGGACAGCAGCCACCAGCGAATATTTGTGGGGGCTGCGATTTGGGGGAGGCGGCATGAAGGCTGTAGGAGAAGCCGTACCGAATGCCAAAGGCCTGAAACAGAGTCATGAAAACGCTATTTTTAACCAGTTGCATATTTAGGGGCATGGGACGTCCGTGCCAAAGGCCTCTCTCTGGTAGAATTGGGCCTGAAAGGTGATCTTACGCCCTAAGCCTAAAAGGAAGAAATAGATGGAAACAAAAATGACCCAAATAAATCAAGGCTGCGTCCCAAAAGGTTCAGTGTTTCATGATATGGTTTCAACCACAGGCTTTCTCTGCCTCAAATTTTAGATCTCTAGCTCCCGAGATTTGGGGGTAACAGCAGTTGCAATATTAAGATTAATATCTAAGACTCAGTTTGCCTTTGAGGTTCAGCAGTTGGTTGGCCAACTTCTCCGAGGTTCATTATTTCTTTCATTGTAGATTTTAGTTCTGTACAAGCAAGTTGCTGATATTCTCTGGAAATCGTCAGTAAAACCACTTTTTTACTTTGCCGCCTTTTAAAAAATGTTTTCAATTTTATTTTTCAATTACAGTTTACATTCCGTATTGTTTTATATTAGTGATAGGTGTACAACATAGTGGTTAGATAATCATATACTTTACCAAGTGCTCCCCTGATATTTCTAGCACCCACTCGGCCCCAGACATAGTTATTACAATATTATTGACTACAATATTAATTATTACAGTATTATTCCCTGTGCTGTAGCTTACACCCCCATGACTTCTTTAAGCTGTGTTCCCCTTTCCCTCCCTCTGGAATCAGTAAAAAATTGCTTTATTTCACCATCTTGGTTTCTCACTTATCCCCACCTCAAACTGTTTTCAGTATTTTCAATCTCCGAACATTCTCTTGGCAGTGAACCTCAAACATAAGCTATGCATAGTTACCCAGAATACGTGTGGAATAGAAACAGCCTGCTTTAGAGGAACAGTGCTGACTTTTCAAAACCCATTTCATCTTTCGGATTTCAGTTGTTTCTCCCTAAATTTACAAAGGGCACCGTCGTCTCCCTTACGGCCATTTCATTTACTGACATCTCATTGTATTCCTAAAAGATATCTTAATTTTCAGCACTTAATTACATTTGATGTGAGTTTAACAGATTTCTCCCTCACTAATTGAAGAGATCAGACCCTGGCATGTGTCCCTAAGCTCACGTCATATGTGTGTTGATAGCAATTGTGACAGCGAAGTGTCGATGCTGCGTTTACACAAGCTCTGTGTTGGAAGATGGTGTCTCATTGTTCTAGAAAACGGAATGGCACCCCGACTTTTCGGGAAGTTTTGACTTCTAGGAGTGCCATACAAAGAAAAATCTGATTTGTCCAACCTTCACCAAGAGCTGACACGTGGGGTCTAATGCACTTTCCTCGATCTTGCATTTGGCTGTTTATCAGAGTTGACTACAGTCTGAATACACATATTCTCTTAGCTTCAAAATCATCTGAGAATCATGGATCACGGAACATTTTAGAGTGCTCTTTGCTGTACAGTTGGGTTTTATGATTATAATATGACTATTAGGTTCGGGGAAAGAGTCTATTTTTAGGTTTGGTTGCTTTGGTTAAGTCAATCTTTGGATTAAAGTGTTTCTTCAGCTAAACTTGCTCACACAGTGAAGCAAGAGCTTTTTTTATTACACATCAAAAGGAACCATTATGAACAAATAAAACTCATTTCCACCTGCTCACTACCATTTAGGGGCATATGTGTTTTGAAAAGCTGTAAATCTATGCTTTCTTTATCTGCATGCAATATTGAACCATAATAAAATGGCAGGTGATATATCCAGTTAAACCTAATTATGAATTATATCACCTTAAGAATTTCAAGGGCGTGAAGTCCCACATTTTCAAAGGACATTTATTTAGCCCCTGCTAATTTATTGGGGACACTACATAAATATTTTTACGTTAACAGATTAATCAGTTTGCCTAATATGACACAGCTAATGTCAGCAGCCCAAAGAGGAATAGAACATGGATAATCTTGGTCTTATCTCTATAATTTTGCAAAAGAAACAGAAAAGACCTGCCAACGCGATTGATCTGTGTCACAAGTCATCAGTGAAGCAGGAAGTCAATTTAGGGGTTCACCGTTAATATTTGGAAATCTAATAGAATAGACTAAAAATATTAGAGAGCATTGCATGAAATAAGAGTAGTTTTTAAAAGTTTGTGTCAAAAATCTTTGTGTGTATGTGTGTGTGTAGAAGTAATAAATAAATTCCTAGAATGCTGCTGATCAAAATGTGGAAGTCACTGCCATACTGATTTCATGTCATGGGAGTTCCTAAAAATGGTGTCCCTTAAACAGCTGTATGTGGCTCTACAATTGCTCCTGGAAGCAAACCATTTGCGTGCAGGGCGGCCCAGAGATGTTACGTGAGACAGCCACCCCCGTTGGAGCCTTTCAGAGCAAAGCGATGGAACATATTCTGTTTTAGTGTGGCTAGTGATTGCCCGGTAAGTTTATGTAAACGATCTGAAGTACAAAAAGGGGAAAAGGGGATGAAAACCCCCCTCTGCCGCCAGTTCAGAGGATCCCTTTTAAATTCTTAGAATGCTGGCCTAGGGTGACAGCGTGACACTCGATTACGGCTTTGCAGATACTGAGCAGACCTTCCAGCAAACACTGTCTTGAGGTCGTAAAACATTAACCAGCCCAAGCTGGACTGTTGTGTTTAAAGTAGTGATAGAGACACTTTGACAATTCCCAAGTGACCGTGGGCTTGATTTTGTGCACAGTTCTAGTTCTTTGTAATTAATTTGCTCTGTTCCACTTTGTCTTCTAATTTCTCCAAATGGCCACAAGTGTTGCCCAAAGGGGGCATGCTTATAAAAAGGCCACTTCTGCTTTCACTAGTCCAGGCTTTTTAAAAATATATATTATTTTTTAATTTTCTTGTTCTGTAGCTCAAGTGATTTTCAAAATGTGTCACAAATCCCGAGGGTCACAGGTTGGATTCCCAGTCAAGGGCATGTACTTGGATTGCAGGCTGGATCCCTGCTGCATGCAGGAAGGCAACCGATGGCTGTGTCTCTCTCACATTGATGTCTCTCTCTCTCCCCCTTCCCCTCCACTCTCTCTAAAAATTAATGGAAAAAAATATCCTCGCTTCCCTGGCCAGCGTGACTCACTGATTGAGCATCGACCTATGATCCAGGAGATCAAGGTCTGATTCTTGGTCAGGGCACCCAGGGGCGTGCAGGAGGCAGCCGATCAATGACTCTCATCGTTGATGTTTCTCTTTCCCTCTCCCTTCCTCCCTCTGAAATCAATAAAGACATATATTAAAAAAATAAAAATAAATATATATATATCCTCTCTTCTTCGGTGAAGATTAAAAGAAAATTAAAATGTGTCACAAACTATTAGTGAAGCATGAAGTCAATTTAGGGGGGTCACAATTAGCATTTTAAAATCTAATAGAATAGACGAAAAATATTAGCACTGTATGACATCAGAGTATGTTTAAAACTTTCGTGTCAAAAATCTTCATGTGTATTTGTGTGTAGAAGCAATACGTAAATTCCTAGAATGCTACTGATCAAAACTGTGAAAGTCACTGCCGTACTTATTTTATGTGATGGAGTGCCTATGTTATTGAAAATAATTTGAAAANTGAAAGTCACTGCCATACTTATTTTATGTGATGGAGTGCCTATGTTATTGAAAATAATTTGAAAACAGTGATGTAATTTCTTTTCCAAATTTGATCTTTGGCTTTGTGTCTGGCTATCATTCTTTATTTTTAGACAAAAATAGTAGCAAATAAATGAGTACATGATCACCTTTCCACTTTCAGTGAATGGAAAATGTTAGTGTTTTATCTTGCACCTTTGTGGAAATAATTTCTGCACCTGTCCCACTTGTGTGGAGAGTTTTTTGACTTGATTTTTGTGCGTTTGCTTGAAATAATTATTTTCAACTAATTATTGGTATTTAACTTTCAACAAACACAATAGACATACATATGAAATTAGCTTCTGTTTTGTTTTCTCAGGTTAATATGACTGATTTAAAGAAATTACTTAGAAAAAAAATTACTTAGAATCTAAAAAATTTAATTGGTTATATATTTTATCTGTGTCAATATAATAGTATTAACATATTGAAAATTAAATATAATCTATTCAATTATATCTATTTATAGATTTAAAATAAGTTTCTGTCTGTACTATATTAGAATTAAAAATAATGAATTATAATATATTTTATATTATTTGGATCATACTTGCTTGAGTGAGTACAACTATCATTTAGCTTCATATTTTTCTTTTTTTGTATTTCAGCTAAAATTGACCAAGATGCAGAGGAGAATTCACTAACAGAGACTCATAAATGGTGAGAAATTAAGTACTTTTCTTTACTACTTCTTTTCAGAATAGGCTTATAAGGTGCTTAGTATGTTTTATCTCAAGGAACCAACCATTGGCTCAATTCTTATTTTCAAGCATAGAAGGAAAATAAACTAATATAAAAGTGTACTTTAATTCCACACTGAATTTTATTTTTGTGAGTCTGGATGATGTATAACCCTGTTAAGTATCAGATTATTGTGAATAGCTTAGCCCCTTCCTNTTTGTTTCTTAACCTACCCTCATTCCCAATTCTCCTTTTCTTTTCTTTTTTATTTTATCTTTATTGTTGAAAATATTACAGATGTCCCCTTTCCCCTCCCCATTAATCCCTTCCACCCCGTACCCACTCCCTGCCCCAGGCCTTCACCACACTATTGCCTGTGTCCNTGTTTTTTTTTTTTGTTTTTTTTTACTTTATTGTTGAAAGTATTACAGATGTCCCCTTTTTTCCTCATTGACCCCTCCACCCCGTACCCACTCCCTGCCCCAGGCCNCATGCATGTATATAAGTTCTTTGGTTAATCTCTCCCCTCCCACCCATCTACCCCCACCTTCCCTCTGAGATCCCTCAGTCTGTTCCTTGCTTCTATGTCNGTGGGTCATGCATATAAAAGTTCTTCATTTAATTTCTCCCCTCCCACCCATCTACCCCCACCTGCCCTCTGAGATCCCTCAGTCTGTTCCTTGCTTCTATGTCTCTGGATCCATTTTGTTCATCAGTTTATTATGTTCTTTAGATTCCACATATGAGTGAAATCATGTGGTACTTGTCTTTCTCTGCCTGGCTTATTTCGCTCAGCATGATACTCTTCAGGTCCTTCCATGCTGTCTCGGAGAGTAAGAGGGCCTTCTTCACAGCTGCATAGTATTCCATGGTGTAAATGTCCCACAGCTTTTTTATCCACTCAAAATTTTTAAAAGCACCTTCACTTTTTTTTTTAATATGTCTTTATTAATTTCAGAGAGAGAAAGGGAGAGAGAGGGAAACATCAATGATGAGAGTCATTGATTGGCTGCCTCCTGCATGGCCCCTGCTGGGGATCGAGCCCGAAACCCGGGCATGTGCCCTGGCTGGGAATCGAACCCCCATCTCCTGGATCCCAGGTCGATACTCAACTGCTGAGCCATGCCGGCTGGGCAGCACCTTCACTTTTAAAGAGAATGTAGGACTGTGGAAATACAAGAAAAAGGAAAATGGCAGGAATATAGTTTAAGAGAAAAGGGCGAAGGGTTTGGTTATCGGAAACCACTGCGTTTTCACGTTCAAATGTAGAGTCCAGGTAGGAAGCCTTGGGCTGCACCTGAATGCACCNTGTAGGAATATGGTTTAAGAAAAAAGGGCGAAGGGCTTGGTTATCGGAAATCACTGCGTTTTCACATTCAAAAGTAGAGTCCAGGTAGGAAGCCTTGGGCTGCACCTGAATGCACCTCAGCCTCCAGAATGGAGCGTGGCAATCATGGGTGAGCACAGGAAAGCATCTCAGAAATTGTCCTGCTGCTTTGCCTCAATCNTCCAGAATGGAGCGTGGCAATCATAGGTGAGCACAGGAAAGCATCTCAGAAATTGTCCTGCTGCTTTGCCTCAATCTTCTCCTTTTCTCTCTCTGTGTTAGTTGGGGTTCACCAGAAAGCAGAACCAATAAAATGTATATGCGTGTGTGTGTGTGTGTGTGTGTGTGTNTTCTCTCTGTATCAGTTGGGGTTCACCAGAAAGCAGAACCAATAAAATGTATATGTGTGTGTGTGTGTGTGTGTGTGTGTACGCACAGGGGATGGGGAGGGAGAGAGATGTTAAGGAATTGGCTCATGGCAAGCCTGGGGCTTCTGCACAACCTTGACCAGCCACTGGCTGAAAATAAGCTATTCTNAGGGAGAGAGATGTTAAGGAATTGGCTCATGGCAAGCTGGGGGCTTCTGCACAACCTTGACCAGCCACTGGCTGAAAATAAGCTATTCTGACCCAAGGGCAGGTCCTAGGAAGCTAGGCTTTAAAATAAAACCGTGTGCATTCCTGGCAGCCTGGAAGACTGTGTACCTACCTGCAGGCTATGTGACAGCCACAGAGTAGGTGCACCTGCATCCCCTGAACTCACCCCTTCTCCTAGGATGTGCGCTCGAGCAGACAGGCCTTTCTTCTCGACATGCTCAAGGGCCTCCCTCTGCCAGGCTGGCCGGCTCCTGTCAAGCAGTTGGGATGGTGGACTTGCCCAGATTCTAGAGTCTCAGGTCCCCTTCCCAGCTGCGAGGCCTGGGCCACCTAGAAACCACCTCACCTCTATCCTCGGCAGTGTATCGCCAAATGCTCACTTTGCCTTTGTAGGCTTCTTTGGAACCCAAGGCCCTGGGCTTTTATGGTGTTCCTCTTTGTGCTTGGATTGGCCAAAAATTCCTCTATCCGGCCCAACCACCTCCACACAAAAACACATTTAAAATGAAGCATGCGTGCACTCCCATTATCTATTTGATCTCCAAATATTTGAGCTGTCTGGACGCGGCCCTGGGGCACAGGGGAGCCAGGAGTATGCATTCAACCACAGGTCTTCAGTCTTCCAGTCTGCATTTTATTTGGACTTTATCATAAGTTATTATTATGTTCTATGTATTATATTATTAAGCCAGCTGAAACCCATTTTGGAAGTAAGATGGTTTATAACCAACTGATCCTACTTGGTCTGCATGTTTAAGGACCAGCAAAGCTGACCTTCCTCACCTTTCATTAGCCCTTGACCTTGAGGCGGCAGCTACACCGGGGCGGTTCAGTCGAATGACTGTATCGGAAGCATCCTGATTAAAGGAATGTTCTTGTGAGGTACCGTTTTTATCTGAGCCATGCTGTTCCGACTCAAGGCATTTTAGTTTTTTAAGACCCAGTGACAAAGTAGGAACAAATGCGTGCGTTTTAATTCTCAGAACTGGCGGAAAGTCATTTCCAAATAACTGTGACAGGTGTGCTGGGTTGTGAGCGTCTTGAGGATCAGACAGTGTCTGAACTGCGTTTTCTTTCCCAAAAGAGGTTTCCCACGGTTTGGAGGCAGGTTGGGGGTCGGCGTGCCCACAAGGGTACCCTGAAGGAGGCAGGCGAGTGCGGTGGATGGGGCCCTGGCCGTGCCACTCAGGAGGTGGTGGGTGAACCGCATGACGCGCCTGGGCCTCAGCTTTCTCGTTGTAAGTGGAATATAACCTCGCCCTTCCTTCCACCTTCTAGACTTGTGGGGATGTCATACTTTGTTCTTGGCAGGAGGCAGTTTCCTCAAGTATGACTGGTGACTAGAAAAGCACACTCATGTGAAAATATTTTGCAAATGGCACAAACTCACGTGCTCAGTTTGCTTGGAAAGGAATTGTACCCATTTGTCTTTGTGATCAAGTACTTTTTTCAAAAGCCTTGGCTGTTAGTCCATTCAGAGAAGTCCTGGCTGGGAGGCTCAGTTGGTTGGAGCGTTGTCCCAGTCGGGGCTCGTTTGAGAGGCAACTGATGGATGTTTTCGCTCTCACATCAGTGATTCTCTCTTTCTCCCCCTTCCTCTCTTTCTCAAAATCAATAAAAACGTATCCTTGGGTGATGATTAAAAATAAGTGAAAATGGATAAGTACACTTTTTTCAAGAAACTAATTAGAATTCTTTTCCACAGTAGAATATTATGTGTTTTTCAGATTATTCCATGATTTTCTAACAAAGTAAACATCTTCAGAAGAAACGACTATTAGTCCATTTTTAATCAAATCAGATCTTTTTTCATATTCCGTTTGTTAGCATAACAGCTTTCTGTGCTAATTTTGTTCATTCAAGCATTTTTGCTAGTAACCTGAGAAGTGGGACTCTGAGCTCCTGTTTCGCCTAAACAGAAATAGAGCTTTTGGATAAATAGTTTGACTGAACTCTTTAATTCTCCCAGAAAGTAAGATGACTGAGCAGATGAGCCTTGAATGGTGCCCAAAACCCCAGTGCAAACTGGATGAACAAACTGTCATCTTCTGACGATTTTGTGGGGAAGCCAAGCTGTCCACACAGACCTCAGCACAATCCTGTCGGGGTTGGCTGCACCCCCACTGTATGTGTTTATTTCAGCCTCTGCTTTTATTTTATTTTTAATTAGCTTACACGGCTTTCTTCAGTTGTGGAAAAATATCATCAGACCAAATATGATTGTTTTTATTTTCCCACAGAATTGTTCGGGGTCTGTGTCCGCTCATAGGCAGAGAATGTAGAACTGTTGGATTTTGTCTAATAAATGGTTGTTTCAGTATCTCTGAATTTAAGGGATCATCGAATGGGAGTTATAAAATTGACTTCTAGCCCAGCTGGAGTGGCCTAGCTGGTGGAGTGTCATTCTGTGCACCGAAGGGTTGCAGGTTCGATACCAGTCGAGGGGCGTAAGGAAGCTGATCCATGTTTCTCTCTCTTTTTTCCCCCCCACCCCGTCCTGTCTCTAAGCATGTCCTCAGGTGAAGATTTAAAAAAACAATTGACTCCTAACACTCAGAGATTCTTATAAATCGTGGCTAACTTCACACCTTTCTTAAAATTTCTTCTGCTCTTTCTTTCTTTAAATTCCACAGGTAAAGACCATATTTTATAGTGAAACCAACTTTTGAGATAGAAAAAGAACAGATTTAATTGTGACCTCAATAAAGCTGATAAAATGACTAAAGTAAAATTTGAATGAGCTAATGTAATAGTTTCGGTACAAGTGTCTTTGTCAGTTAATTTAGGTGATATTTTAGAGAAAGGAAATGGGGCTGAGAAAGGCCCGGTTAAGCGGGAGTAATGAAAACTGAAGCAACTTCTATCATTTTAAATGAACTTTCATTTTTCTAGGGAGCTTGTGACTTTTCCTACAGATGAAAACATTGCTTCAAAGATGTTGGTATATTTCAACAGGACATAGGCTACTGAATTTTAATTTTGTTTTTAAAACATGTTTCAGAATGGAAGTATTTTTTTAAAAAATTTTCCAGAAGCTAAAGACAATTAAACAATTA